CGCGCGCTCTCTCTCGCTCTTTCTCTCTCTTTCTCTCGCTCTCTCTCTCTCTCTCTCTCTCTCTCTCTCTCTCTCTCTCTGCATGCACCAGCTACATAAGAAGGCCCACGATTACGGCGTGATGATAGTAAAGCCACTAACCACGCTGAGCAGCAATCATGCTTATAACGGTGACCTTAATCGTTAGCCGCTCACTGTAGGCTTATGGGATGGACTCACACACGCCTTGAGGTGTTGAACACCATGTAAATAGACACGGATGCTAGAGAGGCGTAGTGGTTTCAGTGAGAGAGAGCGAGAGAGGGAGAGAGAGAGAGAGAGAGAGAGAGAGAGAGAGAGAGGAGAGAGAGAGAGAGAGAGAGAGAGAGAGAGAGAGAGAGAGAGAGAGAGAGAGAGAGAGAGAGAGAGNATATGGAGACGCAGAGAGACATTGACCAGAAAGAGAGGCGGTTAAAGAGGAAGAGAGATGTAGAGAGAGAGGACCAGGGAAATGAGAGAGTAGAGATGAGACAGAGAGATGTGAAGAGAGAGGAGAGAGAGGAGAGATGTGTGTATGTCGTGAATGGGGAGAGAGAGAGAGCGCCGCGGCAAAGCGAAGAGAGATGGGAAGAAAGAGTTGAGAGAGAAGAACGCAAGGAGAGCAGAGAGGAGAGAGAGAGACAGAGAGCGAGAGAGGAGAGAGAGAGTGTTATAGGAGAGCAGAGAGAGAGACAGATCGGGAGAGAAAGCGAGCCAGCGCTCGGCCCTATAATGCGTGAGAGCGAGCCAGTATAAATATTTTTACGTGTTTTATAGCGGGGACTCTCACGCGCCGGGCCCAACCACAACAGGATGCATGCTGCCGGTGTGTTACGCACGAATAGGCTGTAGCTATACCACAGCCAACAACACAGGCCACTGCTGCTGCCTGCTCGGTGGTGGTGGTGTGGTCGTGGTCGCTGGTGCGTGGTGGTGGTGGTGGGGTGCTGCTGGCCCTGCGCTGCTGCTGCCTGGTGTGGGCTGCTGCCCTGCTGCGCTGCTGCTGCGCGGTAACTCTGCTGGTTGTGTGGTGGTGGTGGTGGTCTTCGGTAGGTAGGTACGGTGGTGGTGGTGGTGGGTGGTGGTGGTGGTGTGGCTGGTGGTGGTGGTGGTGCTGCCTGCTGCGCTGCTGCTGCTGGTGGTTAGCGTCGGTGTGCGTGGTCCTGCTGCTGCCTGCGGCTGGTGTGGGTGGTGGTGCGTGCTGGCCTGCAGACCCTGCTGCTGGGGTGAGTTAGGTCCGGGTTGGTGGTTGCCTGTGCCTGCTGCTTGGGTGGTCTGGTGGGTCGGCTTTTTGTGGTGGTGGCTGACTGCTGCTGCTGTCTGCTGCTGGTACGAAGGGGATAGACAGACTGCGTGTGTGCTGCTGCCTGCTGCTGATCATAGCTGGTAAGGCCTCTATGGTGGTCGGTGGTCCCAGTGAGTGGGTATGTAGGTGCTGCTTGCTCAGCTACTGACTTCCGACTTGCCTGCTGGTGGTCTCCGCTGCCATAATATAAACAATGATATAAACACTGCGCAAAGAGCTAGGTACGGTGGTCGTTGTGTTGGTGGTCGTGGTGATCAGTACAAGGGTTCGGCTAGAGTGTTAGGGTGGTGCTGCTTGCTGGCTGCTGCTTTGCTGCGGTGGTTGATTCAAGGTGTACTAAGGCGTAAAAGCAAAACATAAACACAGCGTGGGTGGGGTGCTTGTGTTGGTGGCTGGTGCTGCTGGCCTGTGGTTTTGTTGTCTGTGTGTTGTGTTGCGTCGCAAATAACATCAACAGTTAAAACGCAAGCAGGGTCGGTTGATAGGACGTGTAGGTGCTGATGATGCGAATACCGCCATATGGCCTAATAAACGACTCTGCCACACAGAAAATAGACAGACAGGAAAGAGAAGCGAACCGTGAGCAGAGAGAAAGAGTAGGGATAGAGAGAAAACACGATGGAAAGAGAGAGCAAGAGAGAGCAGAGATAGATAGGATAGTTAGATAAAATAGTTAGCATAGAATAGATAGTTAGCATAGAGTGAGTAGATAGATATAATGATTATAATATAGCATAGAATAGATAGAATAGATAGACTAGATAGATAGATAGCATAGATAGATAAGCATAGCCATAAGATAAATAGATAGATACGATCACGATAGATAAAGATAGATAGATAGATCAGATAGATACAGATAGAATAGCATAAATAGGGAGGAGTAGATACAAAAAGAAGGAAGATATAAACGAGAAGAGAGGGGCGGGGAACATAACACAGAGAGAGAGAAAGTCACGAAAGGAAGAGAGAGAATAGAGATAGCAGATAGAGATAAAGATAGACACACAGAAAGAAAGAGAGAGAACTCGAAGCAAGAGAAGACGAGAGAGACAGCGAAAAAAAACGTATGCCGACAATCCGTGCGCATTCAGCCGTACGATGCCACAACCGTTCGTCTAAAGAGAGGCCGAGCTATTCAAAAATATTTAAACTGTATTTAAATGCGACGGGGACGATCCGAAGTTATCGCTGATATTGTCATTACCACGAGCGCCTATTATGATACGACATTGGCCGAAGGTATAGTCAGTCGCCGTATATCACTCAGACACCTTGCCAAACAAAGCTGGAAAACCTAGCCATGCCCACTTAGGTACCCGCCTGCGTCGCTAAATGTTGCTACGCGAAACTAACACGCGAGCGCACACACCCACAACTGCCCACACTAACACATCGACAGACACACAATAGCCGCCACGCAACATCACCGCAGCGCAGACACGAACGCGCAGCACACACACACAGCTGCCAGCGAACCCACGCCACACAACGCAGCGCAACATCCAACAACACCTATCGCAGGTGGCACAGACACACGCAGA